CAGACCTTGTCCTCCTCCCACTCCTCCTTCTAATCCTCCACTCCCAAGTGGTGAGCAGACCTTATTCACGGGGATAGAAAACAGGCCTCCTCTTCCCCTATACCTCTTTTCCTGAAGCAGAACCCAGGGAAGGAGTCCTGGCCCGAGTCAGAGGCCAGAGCACATGTCCTAGCCTCCAGATGACACGTGTGACCATGTGAGGCCTGGTCGCAGTGAGGGTTCACTGAGGGGGCACAGAGGTGGCTGGTGCAGTGCCTGGAGCTCAGATGGCCCTGAACATAGGAGGCGGGTCTTTGCTTCCAGGTGAGGTAGGTGATGAAGGTGCCTGGCTCCTAGAAGGTGTTCCAGAGAGTCACCTCCTCAACCCTCCCCCACCCTCCTGTGCCTGAAATCACAAGCCAGAGTGCACGGTCAGCTGTGTAACAACAGCAGGATATTAACTATTCCCACTGTTTCTCCAGTGATGGATAAAGATCAATTCTAAGAGTTCTCTCAGTAATCGCCCCTGCAGGAGTTCTGTTTTGTACCACTTCTGAAAAGAGCCCAATAGATGGAAAAGTCCTGTAAATCTCTCTTTGAAATTTTTTTTTTTTTTTGAGAATTTGCTTTTACAGAGTTCTTAAGTAAACAGCATGATAAGGAGCTACAGGCTCAACCACATGTCCTGTGATAACCCCTCTCCAAGGACAGCAGGAATCCAAGTCTTGGACTTTGGAATCCTTGCAATTTCTCTTATCTATCTGCTGCCCCTTTGGTTACCATCTGACAGGAATGCTGCTTTCTCTCTTTGTCCCCCTTAACATCAGCCAGCCACTTGACCCTGCTGCTGCTATCTCCCTTCTGTTCTTTTGGAATGCCCCGCTGCGTCCTGCTCTCTGTCTCTGGATCCCTCTATCTCTCTCTCTTGCACTGTCCCCTTCTCTCTATCCTTCTTAGAAGATAAACTTCTTTTGTTCCTACATCTTAATTTCTGGGTAAGAAATCTTTCTCCACTCGCCCATGGGCACCTACTAGCCTTTCCACCCTGGCAAGAGGAGGGGCTCCAGCCAACTCAGGGGGTCTGGGAGGCACGCAGGGTGACTTCTGCTCTGTCTGAGCCCCTCAGTACCAGGATTCAGAGAAAAGGGGCCGCTCAGGTGTTGGGGAGGAGAGAGGGGGAGAGAAGAAGGGAAAACAGGGGAAGAAGGAGGGAGAGGACACAAGCGGACAGGACAGGACAGGACGGGTGGGCCAGGGGGAGGAGGGTGGATGAGAGGGAGGGGACGGGGGAGAAGAGGAGATAGGGGAGAAGGAGCCCCATGCAAAGGCTTCAAACAGCCCAGGGCACAGGCAGCCTGGTTACCTCAACTATTTGTTTATTCTCAGGTTGATGAAACTATTTCCTTGGGAAGGCACTGAACAATATTTTTCTCCAAAATCATTACCAGGGGAAAGGCATGTCCGTTCTGTCTCGGCAAAGGCGCAGCCTGTCTGTCTGCTGGGCCAGGCGCCTTGCTGGGGAAGGGAGCTGCCCAGGCAGCCCCGTTTAAACCCCAAATCAAAGTGGTCCCCGCTGCCTCTGCTCTGAGTGACCCACCGCAGTAATGTCATCGGCAGCGTGGTCTGAGAGCTGCTCCCCGAGCCAGGCCCCGGGACAGCACCTCTTTCCCCTGAAGTTGGAGACACAGCTGAGCTGAACCAGAATCCAAAAGTGTCAGAGGCAGAAATGGCCCTAGCGGCCCCCATGGCACCCCCGCCCTCCACCATTTGCAAGTACGGAACCTCAGACCCAGAGAGAGGACTCCCTTAGGAGGCACGGGTCGGGGGGGATCGGTGGGGACCCAGGACAGCCCCTGACTCCCAGCCCAGAGCTCTGAGCACACCTGCTCCTGGCCCGTCCTGCCCCACACAGCCTAGAACTCTCCTGGGAAAACAGGGCCGTCTGCTCCCTGCGTGAAGCGTCACGGGTTACCTGCCTCAGGCAGCGGCTGTAGCTGGTGGATCGCAGAGCGGCCGCCTGGAGTCCACGGGCTGTCCACGAGGGCTGATGCTTATTTATCCCCCGAAGGACTCCTCCCCCTGCTTGGGAAACTCCACCAGGACAACTAAGTGGTTTGTTCTCAGCCTGGAAAGGGTCAGATGATAAGTTCTGGTAATGTGGATGTAATTACATCTACTCCAACAACCTGGTTACAGAAATAGCTCAAATTCTTTCCCTGAAAAAGTAAAACCAAAACAAAACACCCTTTGTCGCTTTAGTTTATGTTTCCGTTTATTGAATACTCACTGGGAAACATAGGAAAACCCAGAAAATATAAACAAGGACATTGGAAAACATCCCCGAGAACTGAGAGCGGGCCCCAGCGAGCGTTTTATTGCATTTCTAAGTCCCTTCTCTTTGATGTCTGTGTGTGAGTGGGTCTGACAGGAATCTCCACACACACACTCAGATATACTTCACACATACAGGACCTTTGTTTTCCTGTAGCTAAATTCACATTTCAAGCTACATTCTAGGGAGAATTTCCCCAGTTCCCAGAGACTGAGGGATGGTCCCAGGGCCCCCGCCCCTTTCCCTGTGTTCTCTCCAGAGAACGGGAGGGAGAGGTTGTGGGGTCACAGTGGTATGGGACCCTGGTCCCCATTTCTCTTCAGGGGCCTCCTCTGACTCGACCTTTGTCCGTGGGGCCTCGGCGGGCCGTTGGTTCTCCCTGATGGCTGCCGCCCCTCGCCCGACCTCAGGTCTCCTCACGTCCCTCTCTTAGCTAACCTTGGCCTTTCTTTGTTCATGGGAAAACTTCCCCTTAATTCCCGTGGTTACAGCACCCCATCCACGACAGTCCCTGACAGACCTCTGTGCAGAGCAGGATTTGGAAACCGGGGAACTCACGGGAGGTTCTAGCTGAGGCGTGAGGTAGAGCTGACAGGAATGCTGCACGCTCTGCTCTCCTCATGCAAATCGCGGAAATCCCTCAACCTTAAGGTCCTCATGCCTCAGATGCAGAGAAGAGTTTGCAGCCGAGGAGTGGTGGCTCTTGTCTGTGATCCCAGCACTTTGGGAGGGGCAGGCAGAAGGATTGCTTGAAGCCAGGAGTTCAAGACCATCCTGGGCAACAAAGCAAGACCCTATTTCTACAAAAAAACTAAAAAACAATCTAGCCAGGCATGGTGGTGCTGCCTGTATTCCCAGCTACTCAGGAGGCTGAGGCAGGAGGATCGCTTGAGCCCAGAAGTTTACAGGTAGCTGTGATGACACTTCTGTACTCTAGCCTGGGTTACAGAGTGAGACCCTTTCTCAACAAACAAACAAACAAACAAACAAACCACAACAGTTACCTGACAGCGTAGTTATAAAGACTAAGTGATACAATAGTAAACCTTAGCTCTACCAGAGTAGGATTTTTGTTTGCCTGTTTTGGATGGTGCCGCATCCTTGGAGTCCTTAATAAATATTGGCTGACTGTAAAGCAGTGAGATGACTAGTAAGAATTTGGTCCCAGGCGGAGCGCAGTGGCTCAGGCCTGTAATCCTAACACTCTGGGAGGCCGAGGCGGGCGGATTGCTCGAGATCAGGAGTTCGAAACCAGCCTGAGCAAGAGCGAGACTTTATCTCTACTATAAATAGAAAGAAATTAATTGGCCA